TCGCATAAAAATGCGAAGGAAAAAATAGTTTTCATAGTAAAATAATATAAAAATATATAGTCATATAGTATTGAAAAAAAAGGAAATTACGAGGAAAGTCTCCTGAACATCACAGGAACCCATCACGAGATCAAAAATCGAACTTATCGCACAACTATCTATTGTAGCGTTTTTTTTTGGCTCACTAAAAATTTGCAACTTCAAGGGATTCCTGCGGGAAGTTTCTTTTACTAACTCTCTGTTTTTGCTTTTTCATGCAAAATTGAAGCCTGCCATGGTAAAATATGGACTGCTGCCATGGGTCCAGAACTTGAAGGTTGTTAAAGGGTTCAGAGTTTGAAAATTTATCAAATTCATTACGCACGAACCTTTGCTTCAGTCTAATATTAGGTTGATCCATAATTAGTGCACATTCTCGAAAGGCTGATTTTGAATTAAAATAACTCTTTTCTGAAACAACCTTTCTGAGTCCAATGAAATTGTAAGCTTTAGCTATACAATATATATATACCTTTCTCATAATTGTAGTCACTAAGGAAGAGAATTTTTTGTTCAAAAACTGCCAAAAGTCTTTTTTTCTGAAAGGCTCTACTTTGAGAGGGCATAAACTTACTCCCAAATGTACTAGAATGGCGCAAAGTTTGCACATTGTTTAGCGATGGTAAGCCTAATAATATGGTGGAAATAAGATTTGCTGGATTTTTGTGCAGAATCATGGCAAATAAATAAAAAAAACAGTTTTCTTCCTTTTAGAAGAGGCAAAAAGTATTTTTTTAAAGATTTGTCTAATTTTCTTCTTCCATGAACGAGAAGATCCTACCGTTTTCTTACCATTAGTTGAACTTGATCCTCTCTACCTGTATAGAGCAAAAGTTCAGCAATCGCTTTTCGCCTAAGATTTTTATAGTAATCAGCCAAGTTCAATCAGACCCTACCTTTTCAAGATTTTCCTAGCCGCGGTGAGCATTTTGTGGCACAAAACTTCGCAATACAATACACTTGTTTGGAAAAAAAATCACGCATCTTTCTCGGATTGAGAGCAAAATGAAATTTCAAGTTTAGTTTCTTGTTTTGAAGGCATGGAACTTCGCTTTGAGCACAGACTTCCGCGAACGAAGGAATAAATAATTAATGAGCAAGATGAAGCGCGTTTTCAGACACCATAAATAGTTTCTAAGGTGAATTTTTTACTTGAACGTGTTTGAGAGAAGAGGTAAGAAAAGCGTGCATTAATAATGAACTAACCTAATATGGGCTGCAGTCTGCGGCCGTAGATGTCACTTCAATGTGCTCGAACTGCATGAAAACAGTTTTGGTTACAGCAATCTAACGAAAAAAATTTTGGAGCCTTAAAAAGAAAAATTTATAAAAGAGTTCGAGCTATCGTCCCTTATTAACAAAGAGGAACTAACGAGATTTTTTGTATTTTTGCTCGGGTTCTCTGCTGCTTTAGTAATATAATAATATAAAAGTCAATTTGAGAACATTAACTGCAATCATTGTTCCAATCAGTTCACTGACCCAGTTAACCACAGTATTTTCAAAAATTCCTAGAGTTTTTAGTCATTTTCTTCCTTGTTAGAATTCATTCAGTAGTCAAATCAATACAGTGCTGACTGCAGCATTTGTAGAACTAA